CCCAGCCTCCGCCCCCCCCCGTTCTTTTTCAGCTATCAAATAGGTGCCCTGTCCCCAGCCCCAAACCGCAGGCTCATTTTTCTTTACGGGCTGTCTCTGGACCTTTCATTTTTAAATCCCCTCGTCAGAAGAATAACAAAAGCCAGAACAAAATGGTGAACTCGGCGTCACAACCCGAAGGACGGTCACCCCCCCCCCCCATTGCAAATAAAGCTCCCACCTCCCCCAAGAAGCCACCAGCACCAGAAACGCTTTAAAGGATGAAAACGACGGGGGGAGGCCACCAAAGCTGATGGCCTACAAATGGGGAGCCCCCCCCCCCACCCAAGCCAAGGCCAGATTTTCCCCCAGCCGCCCCGCATGCTGCAGAGTGGGAAGGGGCAGGGTGGAAACTGACGCGGGGGGGGGGGTTCTCCTCGGGGAGCCGCCGCTCTCGGCTCCGATGGAGGCTGAGCGCAGCGAGGGGGCAGGCGAGCCAGCCGCAGTCAGGCAGCGGGGCTGGGGGAAGAGACGGGTCCCAGGCCGGGGGGGGGGGTGTCGAACAGCAGGTGTACGGGGGGAGGCAGGGCCGCTCTGTGCCCCCCCACCCCACCCCCTGATCGCCAGGGAGCGCCCCCGCCCCACTTACTTCGTCCTCGGCTGCAACGCGGACGGGCGGCTCCTTTCTCCTGCCAGGGGTGGGTGTTGCTGGAGGGTTTCTCGGGAGGTTTCTTTTTTCCTCTCTCTTTTTTACGGGGTGCGGTTGGGGTGGGTGGGTGACTCCCCCCCCCTGCTATGGCCTGGGTGGGAGGGGTTGTTTGGGGCGCCCCCTGGCTAGTTTTTTCCCCCCCCTCCTCCTCTCCCTCGGCTGGGATCCGGAGCCTCCCTCGCCCTGGCCCAAAGTGAGCAAAGTAAATGAAAAGTTTCACCCTTAGCAACCCTGCGCAAGGATCTCCTCTTCCACACCCAGCGTGACGCGTCCTGCAAAGGACAAGGGGGTGGGGGAGAAGGGAGAGCCGGAACTACTTCCCCAAACCCTCGCTGGAAATTAACCCTTTTGTCCATGCTCATCTCCTGCCCTTATCCGCCGTCCGCCTTCTCCGGCAGGGAGTCTCTGCGCGGATCGCCCCGGGACTGTAGTCTCTGTGTGTGTCCTTTTCTCTCCCCTGCTCCAGGTTGTGACTTCCCTAAAGGTTGGAGCTTCTCCCCTCCCCCCCCGCTTTCCCTGTTCATGGTGTATCACTTATGGCTAGGCAGCTATGCGATAGGACAGATCTGCAAACCAGGGGCAGCTGCGCTGGCTGTTTTTGCAGCTTGTGCAGTGGTTTGTCACGCTGTGGCGTATGCACTGGTTTAAGAGAGAGGAGAAAGGGGCACGGAGGGATTTGGAAGGGATCAAATAGCCAGGCTGGATTGACCTGAGATTTTCCCAAGCTTCTTATCGCTTCAGGACTTGGGACAGAGCAAGAGCATCAAAAGGGAGGGAAAAACCGATAAGGTTTTTCTTTTATCCCACATGCATCGTTATCTGACGTCTCCCAACAGCAGCTACAGCGAACAATTGGGGTTTGTGTGTGTTTTAAAGGGCGGCTAATCATCGTAGACGTCCATCTCTTTGATGGAGAGCGAGGACCCGCTTCAAAAATGACCTCAAAGCAGAAGAAAGGCTCTTTGAAGAAACGCATACCCACTCCGAAAGAAACGAGTAAAACCCAGGATACACTCTCAGCATCAACTCTGTTCAGTGAAAAGGGTAAAAAACAACCCTCTTTTCAAAGGTCGTTGATAGAAATTCCCTAGCCTGATCGTTCCACAGCCTCCTGCTGTGCAAAAAAGCAAAGCAAAGCAAAGCTCTCCCAGCAGCGGAGAGAAGATAGATGCGTTACAATGATTTCCCCCACGCTGCTCCACAGAAACCCCATTATCCAGTCGCCTCCTGAGCCTGCCGCAGCAGATCTCCCCACGCGTGCCGGGGCTGCTGACCGGCTCGCTGAGGAGTGGGACACGCGTGGGTGCCCACCGGCTGTTTGGGCAGGCAGACGGGGCGAGCGGAGGCCGCCCCCCCGCTCATAAGGAGGGGGCGTAGGAGCGGTGGGTGACACATCGAGGCAAGACGAACGCAGGCTGCACGAGCAGCACCGCCCCACGCGCTTTTGCATGCGTGTGCGCACACCCCTCCCGCCCAGACCCAGTGTGATCATCATCGCCCCCCCTCCCAGGGGAGACCCCCGCACCGCGCCCGAGTTGACTGGCATTCGCCGGGGCGCGTAGCCCGCGCGAGCGCGTGTTCGGCTCGGGAGCGAGGGAGGGTGGGTCTGCCACGCGCCGCCCCTTCCCCTCGCTTCATTTCACAGCGCTGTTCGCACCGAGGCAAGGGCCTGCAGCCAGCAGCGTCATTGGCGCAGCGTCACACCTCATGCTAGGGCAGCAGCTCCTCCCGCCCGGCCCCGCGAGCCAGGGATGTGACTTTAACTGTCCCCTGGGACGCATTTCCCTCCTCTCAGCCTCTGGCTGCAACGCCCAGCTCAGGGACTATTTTTTCGCCAACGCGCTTGCGCATTGACTTCATCATCACCGGTTCGGGCGCAGGCATTGACACACTACGAGCAACCCGCAAGGTACAAGAGCAGAGACTGTGCTAAAAATAACAGCGGCGTGTTAGCAACAGCCTCCCCATTGGCTGGCAAGGTTAGGCGGAGCCTCCGGATTGGTCTGTTGCGTCAACCAGTCAGCTGAAGGGGGCGTGTGCGGGCAGGGCCGCCTCACCCGCGGAGCAGAGGCTGCTGGGAGTTGTAGTTTTCTATTCAAAGGTTCTAGGAGGCCTTACAATGGGGCCTTGTGTGTCCAAGCCCTGCTTTGTGGAGATGAACAGCTAGATATTGTTTTAAGGTTTTATCTAGGTCAAGTAGGCAGGGCTCACCTTAAGCACAAACAAGATAAACGATTACCTACGATTGTGGTAGCCGCTGTAGCTCATAGCCCAAGTCCCAACCTAGGGAAGAAGGCAGTGCAGAGCTTGGTAAAACTATCATCTACTAGTCGCACTACGACATACCATGTATTTACCATTTCCAAAATGGGTTAGACCCTGAGAAGAGGCCCTGCAGTGACACTAGCAAGCATCAGCACAAGGGCCTGTTCTTCATGTAGTGAAAGAAATATTTTTCTGAAAAGTATAGTAAAATAAATACATAAAATTCTAAGAGTTCATAGTCCTGCTGCTTCCAGGTTGAAGCCAATCACCAGCTGGGGTCAGGCAGGTATATTCTCCACAACAGCACTGCACAATAAGGCACATTATAGAGGATTTGATGCATTCCTCAAACGCAGTGCTATTTACATGCATTTATAGGGTGCCAATCGCTATTGCACTGGCCCCACTTTCAATGTTTTAAACTGGGAACTGTTCTCAATTCCAAATAACAAGAACAAATACACAACAAGCTCCTGCAGGCCCCTAACTTTAAGCACTGAGAACAGGAAAAAATACAGCCAGTTGCCTACCTAAGGGTATGTCTACAATACAATAAAACACCCGCAGCTGGCTGGGGTCAGCTGATTTGAGCTTGCAGTGTAGGGTCTGAGAACCTAGGCTTCAGCCCAAGCCCAAATGTCTACACTGCAATTTTACAACCCTGGAGCCCGAGTCCCGTGAGCCCAAGTCAACTAACCCAGGCTAGTCATGGGTACTTTATTGAAATGTAGACATACCTTTAGCGCCCAGGATTCCAGAGATCACAGGCAGGAAAAAATCTGAATAAAAACATGTCTTGCAAAGTGTTCTAGATACGTCTATGTAAGATACATTTCTTGGAGGAATAAACTCCAGAAATGTGAACCACTACTGAAAATGCCCTGCTTCCACCTTCTGCAAGCTTCACCTTCAGGACAGTTGGGTTCAGAGTGAACACAAGTAGATGATAAGTCAGAGGGACAGAGAGAGAGAGAAAGAGCATGCACCAGTCTTTTAGATCATTAACCACCAGCATCACCATTGGCAGAGAAAAGGTAATTGACTAGATTGACCAAGGGTCTGGCCCAATGACTCTGTTCACATTTTCCTTTGATCCTAAAGAATCCCCTAGAAAAGGTGGCATATTAGATTCATATGTAACCTCATTATCGGATCCTCTTAACTTGTGGAGTTACACTTATTTTTGAATCTTCCTAGAGCTTCAGACTACAAAAGACTAAAAATCCTTTTGAAATGGTTGTAATTCTTTCAGGTTAAATTGCTCTCCACAATGGCTATTGCAAAAAAATATTCATCCCCAACCCTGCTTTCATGAGGATACTCTGTGTTCGCCAGGATCTCTCTATGGATCCTTTACACTTCACCCCTTTTTCCTCTCAACCCTCTCCCTCCAGCCACCATCTCTGTAGTCAAGGAAGACTGAATGAACTCAGTCAAGAGTATCTTGAAAATCTGTTGTGGCAGTCATTGTTGGATATCACACTGCAGTAGGCATGGCTACTCATCCCCGCTCCCCCCCCCCCGAAAAAGATCTGGAGCATATGTGGTTTGGTTTTGTTTTTTTGGTGGTGGGAGAGGGGAGGTTGAAAATGGGTGGCCATTGGGAAAATTATGAAACCTATAATGAACAGAAATATCTCCATTACTTTTAGTTTAAGAGCAAGTCAATTAAAAGAGCACATTAAGAATTTAAACATTCCATTGCTTTGCTTCAAACAAAATCATCCTGTCAGCCATGCATCAGGAAATGAAACTGACCAGCCTAGGTTCAATATCATTAATAAAAAAGCCAATTACATTTCTGAAATTGTTTTAGTTTTAATGAGGTGTTAATAATAGCACATAAGGACTCTTAAAATATTTCTCTCTTGACTATGTCCCTTTAATTATCCAGAGGTGAATACACACACACAGAGAAAGAGAGTGGAATTTTGTCCTAAGGATCCATTTATGCGTTCTTGACCACTTGGCTATTACGACAAAGGAGAACTACTGAATCAGACACACACACAAGAGGGAAGGAATCTCCAGGTTGCCAGAACAAAGCTAGTTTTGCTAGGTTGTTTAATGCCAAGGAAGGTCAGTCAGGGTATAATTGGGCATAATTAGCACTTCCCTGCACAGGAACATTCTTTACTTTCAAGTCACATGACACTTAACTCAAAGGAAATGAGAAATTCTTTCCTGTCTTAGAAATGAAAACATTTGCTAATTTGAACATGTCAACAAAAAGTTCTCACCAAGCACCATAAAGAACAAAAACATGGCTGCTCCTATAAGTAAAATTTCAGATAGTAAGATCTGATCCCTGTAGCCAACACTCAGAGATAGAGCACAGGAATAGAATCCAGACATTTGCCAACATCCAATTTTTAAAGAAGGCAACATTTCAGGTTCAGGGCGTCAAGCAGGGGACCGAATGATTCAAGGAACTGGGGCTGGGTTTTAGAGCCATTTACCTGTCCAATGTGACCCTGTCCCATCTTATTTGTAACCAAAAGTTACAACATCTTTCTGGTAACTGATATGAAATGAGGTGACATTGTGCACGTGGAGCGGAGTGGGGGGAAAAAGAGGACTCAGGGTATGTGTCCGCATCCCAGATCACTATAACCACCTCGTTAGCACTGTGAGCAGAGAGGCTAAGTATTAAATAGGCCAGGAATTCTCCAGTTTTTTTTTTTAGTGTGGACATTGTAAATACAGGGATTTTCTTGCAGAAACCTCCTCTTCCATTTACAGATGCATAGAATCCCTGTAGTAATTACAGCAATGACATATGTGGAAAGGAATACCAGACATACATATTTAGCTTCCTTTAATTCAGTTTAGCCGCATACCTCCTAGTTGTTCAACCACTATAAGACCACACTGCTCTCTGCACCAACCATCCCACTGATCAGTTTGGGAACCTCTGAATTAGGCCATTTGAGACTGAACTACTTTCTAAAGTCCTGCCAGAGGCCCCTCCAGAGCAGGGCTGCGGCACAACAGGAGGGCAGCGTGTGGGGGAAGCTTATACTGCCGGTGCCCTTGCTGAACCGGTTCTGGGCTTAAAGAAAGGACTTTGGTCTTCACAGCTGTCAAGGCAAGCACTTTCTACTCATTTAAATGAGTTTTAACGATTGTTTTTTAAAGACCCTGCAATTAACCTCACAGTTCTTATCACACAGAATCTCTCTGTTTCAGAGAGCTCGTCTTTTCTAGGGTCCGTGTCTGGCCAATTAGAAACTAATGAACACCAGACAAGTAACCACATAAAAAGACTGAATCTTCACTGCAGTGCTACCCTACTGTATCTCTCCTCTGCTTCACAAGGGCCTTATCTACACTAGCAGTTTTAGGGCAATCTCCCACCCTTGCGGTAGCAGCACAGGAGAGGCACTGGCGCTGACCGAGGCTACACACTAGTGGCAGTAGAAGTCTTCTCCCAAGTTGCCTGTGTAGACAAGGCCAAGGAGAAAAACAACCCTCTGCCTCCACTCAACCAATGGATGAGAAACATGACATAAGGCAGTTTAACTATTTCACAGCTACCAGAACATGGAGCTATATACCCAGTAATCAAAGTTCTTAAGCCATAAGCCCTTGATTCCCTACAGCAGTAGCAAGCCTGGGAGTGATGAGGAAACAGCATGCACAGCTGTATGGGGGAAAAGGAAGGGATATTCCTCGTCTCTCTATAGCGATCCCTGCCTGGATGATACTTCTAGTTATGCCAACAGGCTCAGACATGAATACTGCATCCCAAACTGCATCTTTGTTGGGACCCTAGACCACAAGTGGGAATTCTACAGTACCCCAAATCCAGTTTAGTTTCTCGCTGCCCCTCCTGCTCACAAAAGCAGCTCCTTAAAAGTTAACACCTGATTTGCAAGCTCCTAGTCAGTAGGGAAGGGGAAGGAGGTGTGTACAATGCGTACATGATCTGTATTTCCTTCCCCAGATCTGTGCTGAGCAGCTGGGAGTCCACAGCCTCTGCTGATGTTCAGCAAACAAGCAGGCTCTAGTTTTCAGTATATGGCTATTCGTCTGGAATAGAATAGCTGGTTTCCAGCTACAGCACAGAAGGCTCTAAATTCCTGCAGCAGGGATAGAGTCAAACACTTCAGGAGGTTTTTAGAAAGGGATTGGATGTTTGCATGGTGAAACAACATCCAGACACATTAGCAAAGGCAAGGGTTACACAAAGCGAGCCACACTCTGCTTCAGGACATAAAATTATCAATGACTGGGGTGAGAAAGCAAGCAGCGGTCCTTCCCCAAAGCATCTCACAGAGAGGTCAGTTTAGCCATGACAGGCCACTGTCAGAGAACAGACGGCTCATTGTTCATTTCTAGTTTGGCAACTCCTAAGTTCTTAGTGTCCCAATCACCTGACAAAAGGAAACTCCGGGAGGACTACTTGTGGGGTGAACTAGAGAGAAACCCTTCTGTTAGAAAAAGGAAAAAAACTTTATTGGTGTACATTTTGCAGAGATAGTTACAGAAAGGGCCTTCGGTTAATCAGTTGAAGAAAACATAGGGACATGTAATGGTTGTGCTCATATGAAAAGGGCATCAGCCATGAGCATGCTAGCCTCCCTGCATAACAATACATAGAGAGTTTCAGTGGGTCGGCAGTCTGAACCCATTCTTCAGACTTTGGGGGTGTGGCCAGGGGAGAAGACTTCTTAACAACGGAGAGGGAGTGCACGGAAAGGAGAACTGCAGGTGACCCCCCAATTCCAGAAAGGGGACAAGACGTGTAAAAGCAGTGCTACACCTTGATAGCAGAGCAGATCCCCTTAGAATGTAAGTGCTTGCCCACCAGGCATTTTGCAGAGCTGTGTGGCAGACACTAGCCACGCTTGAGAGAAGGCAAGAATCAGTAGCCTACTTTTGCCATCTGCAATACTCAGCTAACAGGTTCCAATCCCCAGTCAATTTTGTTTCTTCTTCCACCCCTCACACATAATTTAACTTGTAAGACTTTAGAGAAGATTAATTGGTTCTCAATAACAGTGAAGTCCAGAGATGCTTTAAGACCCTTTCCCCAACCCTGCAGCAGGCATAGCAGCACCAAGGGTGGATCACCTCTTCTTGAAGCCGTACTTCTTGCGCTCGTAAAAGAGATCCGTCTTGGAACTGCCCAGATTGACGATCTTAGGGCAGCCATCCCTCTGGAAACATACAGAGAGAAGAGGACACAGTTAGAGCTACAGCAAGCAGAACAGTCCAGTCATGTAGGCCCGAGTAGGGTATGAAGAGTGACCACTATCTTCCACTCCAAAAAACACCTCCTGGAAACACCCATGCAGGCAAACTTCCCTTCTACTCCATTGGCTCCAGCTATCAAAACTGAGGAAGTGGAGGGGAGGAGGGAAGCCTTGCTAACACTAACTAGGGCCTTCTCTTCTTTAGGGGAGCATGAAGAACAGTTTGAATAACATAATCAGTTTAATGAAAGAGATGTACAGTGCCCCAAGACTGGATCCTTCTAAGCTAGGATACACATGACTTATGGGGGCAAGGGGAACAACCTTTCCCCACACTGAGGCAAGAGGAACCAACTTCCATTAGGTGTCAACAAGTATTCCTTGTGCCCTCAGTTCCCACAGCCAAAGCAACTCCCAGATACCCCACACTTTAGACACATCAGAATAGAACTTGATTCACTGTAAAGGTCACATGGTCATTTTGCAGGTGCAGGGATACTCATAGCAAGCGTATGTGAGAAGGCCTCCATATCCCAGTCCACCAGCTGGAGGGAAAGCCAGACATGAGAAGAGCAGGTTAGGGAGAATAAATCAAGGGTGCAGCTGTGAGTTATGGGAGATGGAAAAATTTAAATACAAATAATGGGAGATGGACATGTGCACGCCAGAGAACGTTTGCCCATGGATCACTCAGCCTGGCATCTGTGCGCCTCGAGGGCAAAATCCTATTGCTGGAGTTGGCAGCTGTGCTGTGCTGAGGGGCCCAGTGGGCACTGGAACATGTGTCCCTGGTTGTTGCGTAAGCCTGAGTGGATTAGATGAGAAAGCCTTTGGGCAGATGTCATCCACTGCAGAGACCACACCCAAGCTGCGGCACCAAAACTTGCTGTTTTGAAGAGATGAGATGGGCAGGATGGCAGAGACAGAAGAGGGGAAAAAATTAAATAAGTCTCTCCTTTCCCTACCCACCACACCCACATATATGCCTACACCAACCAGCCTCTAGCTCTTGTCTTGTGGTTTCACTTTGAACCTCCTAGGTGGGGCCCTTCCAAACCTTTCCTCCCACAATTCAGAGCATCTGTGATAAACCTGGCAGCTTCATTACAGGCTTCCGTTCATTCCTCCACCCCCTCAAAAGGATTTGGCACATGCGCATACCTCTAGCCCCAAGAAAGAAACCCTCCCTGCAACCCACAGCTCTCCAGGATGACATGGCATGACCTGTAGCCCCAAATGGGGCATGAGTGGAACCAGCGTCCCCCACGAAACAGGAACCAGGCACCTTTGCCCCTTTACATGGAGGATATTCCCTCCAGCTCATTTCATCCATTTTTTGCTTTCTTGCTTCACATTCTAACGGAAATACGTTCCTCCTGACTCTGTCTGGGGCTGAATGTAGAGCATTTGGGAAAGCAAGATTAACTCATCTGACTAAACTAAGGGAGTGTTAAAGCTTCAGACACTGAGCTCTGTCTGTAGAAGCAGTAATGTGATCCTGATCATTTGTGTTCATTTAAAAAACCCTCTCAAGACACATTTCCACAGGAAATGGGTGTCCACCTTTAAATCACTTCATTCCATCTCTTTAAGTTCCACCTGCCGTTTCATTTGGAGGTGGTATTCTTCACATCCTGCTCTAACTGCGTGTAGTGCTGCTGTACATGGTTATACTGCCATATTTCACCTCAAAGGTGGCTGTGTTTCTTTGTGCAGAGATCACTCTCACTCCACTGTCATTAATCACTATAGGATCCTGCTACAGAAACATAACAGAACAGGACCACTGGAAAGAGGCCACTTCTAGGTTGGAATATGTTCGCCAACAGTACATAAAACCCCACAGCAGTGAAAAATTCATATCCAAATAAAATGGGAAAGGGAGTTTTAGGTCTGTAGAGTGCAATTACCTGAGTTGGAATTTGATCAGGACACCAGAGTCATAACACATATTCTTATAAAAACCCCCATGGGATTTTAATGGCTACAAGTGGCCCATGACTTTTGTTTTCCATCTAACCGAGAGGAAAACACCAGCAGTACTGGATGTCCTACAGCACCACGCGCACACAGGACCATTGATTCAGTGTTGACTGGAGTAGTCCCATGCTTTTGCAGCATCTGAGCATTTCTAAGCTAGTGGCCCGACCCTGATAAAGCTTAGCTTGTGAGACCTAGTAAGGTAACATCTTAAGTGATAATGCTACAGGCAATGGGTGGATGAAGTGAACCACATACGTGTGGTTTGTAAGGTATTTTCCAATCCTTTGGGATGAAAGGCACGAGAGAAATATCACAGGGCTTATTTGTAGATCTCACAGCATTTTACAAAGGTGGGTAAGCACCACTATCCCCAGATGCATGGAAGAGAGGTGAAGTGACTTCCTCGTGGTGACATAGCAAGCTACTGGCAGCATTGGTACTGGAGTTCAGGTGCGCCAAGTCACAGCTCCATGCTCATTCCACAAAACCACGGCTGCCTTTAAAGATAAGCATGACTGTTAAATAAAGACCACATCTGTTCAACAAGAGACAGAAAGACAACCTTGAGGCACTGCATCCAACTTACATCCTTCTCCTGGATGGTGCACTCCTTGCAGTAATAGGCATCAGAGACTCCTGGACCTCCGCAGATCACACAGCGCCCTTGGTACGACCCATAGTTACACTCATCACATATGCGCACAAGTGTGCAGGGTCGCACATATGAGTCACAGATCACGCATTTACCATCACCTACAAATAGAGCACAGTACTCAGCTAAAGAGTTTCCTTCTCCACCATTCCCACAGAGAGGGGATAGCTCCCTACCCAAACAACTCCCCTATACACCCTAAAATAGTGGGACTGAGCTGGGAAATTCCATCTCGCTGATATATGAAAGCCATTTTACTTCTCTGAAGTGAATGAGCAAGTAGAAGAGCCAGTATCTTTCAAAACTTCATTTTCAATTCTTTTTGCTTTGCAATCAGAACCACAGATGAGGGCCAATGCTCTGATCAGCCAACATTTTACAAAACTCTTCATTACATCATCCCACCACTGTGTCGTTAAAACTTTTTGACAAAATTTAGCACTTGTGAGAAGTTGCTGAACTGACAGCACCAGACAGTCTCTAACTACAGGACAGGTAGAACATGGGCAACAGCAGTGCAAGCTTCTCACACACCACTACATAAACATGAGACTGAAGTATGACCTCCAAAGGATGAAAGGGGAGGTTCAGTCTTCATTACCTATTTGATCCTTGACTTCTGAGAAGGCCAAAAAGAGGGTGAATTTGTGTAGACAGCCACAACAATTTCTGTGATGTGGAAACCTCACAAAGAATTGAGTAAAACCTAACAACTCATTTCACATAGGCCATATAGCCATCAGATGCCAGTGACAGTCTGTAGTGTCCTGGACTATACCCAAATCAATGACCTAGAGCTGAAAAGGGTATATGAAGCCTGAGTCATCTAATCCCTACCCCAACTAAAGATTCTTATCTCTGTAGCGATGAGGCTTCAACTACTTCCTATGGAATCTATTCCACCGGCCATATACTCTTAAAATGCTTCCCTAATGTCAGACTAAATTTCTCCCTCCTCTGCTCCTTTTCCCACTATTTTCTGACACAGGCCAACACCCTTATTTCATTTATACTGTGCCCATGAAAGGACTGATCATACCCTCTCATTCTCCCACGTTGCCTCTTTTATAGTAGAAGAATGTATTTAGTTCTGTGTCTCTTCACATGTCCTAGTTTCAGATAATTTTTGCTGTGTATTTCCCACACTCAGGATTATGACTTGAGCCTTTATCAAATTGTGCAATAGGCATTTTTGGAAAATGGATTTTTTCCTCTTTTAAATTACCAAGTTATCTTTTTCCAATACAAGTGGATCATGATGAACTGATCAGTACAAACCCAGTTCCCTAAACTCTGGCCACAAACCTGTTTTTTTATCCACAGGTAGGACCCTCTCCCTGTACCTTTTCCATGAGACATACCGTAATACTCTGTGCTTGTATGGCATCTTCCACAGAAGCCTCTCAAAGTGCTTTCCACATATTCATCAACTTAACCTCATAACACCCACATGGGTTTTCCCATTTCAAAGAGTGATTTGTCCAAGCTTACACAAAAAAAATCAGTGGCACAACTGGAAACAAAATCCAGGCTAAATCCCAGCTGTGTACTCTAACCACATGACAATGCTCTCACAAAACACCCCATGCAGATATTATACTTACATTTTTCACACAGTCTTCCAATAGCTACAATAAGTAAAGCAGAAAAAAGAATTATTTTTGACAGAGAGACTTTTGGTTTAAATAAAACTTTTGTTTTAAATAGGTGACCTCCAATTTAAAAATGAATTAATGTTTTTTTTTTAAATCTGTTTAAAATCTAAACTAATTTAACAAAATACAACGGCAGCCTTAACATAGCAAATACATACATTTTAATAGTAAACAGTAAGCATCCTTCTGGACATACATTTGCCAAGACCAGAGTTTAGAGTTTAGTGTTTCCCATGCAGCATTCAATGGCACCACTCACACTTCCAGCACAGTGCTGCCATTCACTACGCTGCTTCAGGTATTAGCAACAGCAAGGAAATAACAGAGCCCTATACACAGGCCATGGCAGAAATTTTCCATTGCATTAGTGGGAGCTGGATGAGGTTTTGAGAGAGGAAATTATTTTCAAATATTTTGTTTAAGTCTATGTTTGGTTCTGAAGGCTACTAGCATATTCAGGTTATGTTCAGGATGTTATTTGAATTAACTGAAAAAAGTATTACCATTTGTCTATAAGATTTCAAAACAATATTAAATAAATAATACCGTAGATGAATGTATGCAGTATTCTTGTAACAGTATCCATGTTGGTCCCAGGATATTAGAGAGACAAGGTGGGTGAGGTAATGTCTTTTACTGGACCAACTTCTGTTGGTGAGAGCTCTTCTCCTTAAGCGGAGCTCTGAAGCTCAAAAGCTTCTCTCTCTAACCAACAGAATTTGGTCCAAAAAAAGATCTCTCACTCACTTTGTCTCACTAATAGATGACTACGGTAAGTATCAAGCTATAGAGAGTTGTAATGTCCCAGTGACCACCACAGCAAAGACTCAGTCACCAGTGAACAGATAGATACCCACCAGGCTGGAAGAGTAGGTCTCAGCTAGAGTTAGGTCTCTCACCATAAAGGTACAGTTCTACTCTGAAAAGTGATTCTCTGAAAACAGCACCCAGGTTTCCATGTTTCCCTTGTCTCAATGAGAACAATTCAAATTTGCACTTGCAAGCAAATTATTTTTTTTCTGAGCCAGTCAGCTTTGGATCCAAGAATCAAGCTAGTCTCTTTGTCTCTCATGCCCCATCACCACTATATAGATTTAGCAAACCAACTTCTGTCCTCAGTTACATCTACCGCACAGTTAACTGAGGGCAGAACTTGGCCCTACAATTGGAAAGAAATCAGCAGTTGTCATAATGAGAAAACCAAAATACTCTCCCACTTGTTCTCTTGGCTGTTTTGGCACTGCCAGGATAATAGGAGTAAAAAGCAAAGATATTTGGTCACTAAAGTGAGCAACTATGACTGCTTAAGCATACGAACTAGTCTGTTGAGTACGTAACTGAGGTGCAATTAAAAGTATTTAAAACCAAACAGGGCAGTTTAAACTCCATCTGGCCACTTAAGAGGCAGCAAATGTAAAAAGCAATCTACAAAGACAGAATTACAATAATAGACCCTTATGTTCTTTGTAGGTCACAAGTTGGCAGCCACACACAGCAAGGTGTTAGGTTATATGGGAACACAGCATGCATGCAGGAGCACACAGGTGAGGCACAAGGCCAAGAGCCCTGGGCTACCCGGAGAAGGGCAGGTGACTGGGCTAAATGGGAGGACAAGGCTATTTCTGAAAAGTGTTTTGGATGCGTTTTTGTGGCAGCCACCCCAACGTTAGTAACAACCCCCAGCACGGACAGGGCACCTCCCAGGCGGAAAGCACTTCATAAAGCGGGGAGGGGAGCAAGAAACATTCCTCCCAGGCTTACACAGCCAGTCTGTCGCAGAGCCAGAAACAGGACTTGGGTCCCTCTGACTCCCAAACCCATCTTGGTACCACACTGCCAACGTGCCCCTCCCCCCGCATGGGTGCCCCTCCCACTCCCAACTGGTGCCCCGGGCCCCTCTCCCCGGCACTGGTGCCCCGCGCTGCTCACGTGCCCGCCCGCCAAAGTGCCCCTCCCCCCCTGCTGGGATAGGGTGCGTGGGGCGCTCCGCCCCTCCCCACGCGGGGGCCGCGGTGACCCTGGACAGTCTTGGGATCCCCCGCCCCACGGACGCGGCAGAGCGGGAACCAGGGCATCCGGGTCTCACCCACTCCCGCCTGCTTGCGGCAGAAGATCAAGTCCGGATGATGTTTGGCCATTTCTCACCACCGCACGAGTCGTGTCGAGCGGGCGACGTTGAGCCCTTTCACCCTTGACCTCTCACCCCCAGGTCCTGGCAGGGTCCACGTGATCTTCTCCCACAAAGCTGCCAGAGCTTCCCAATGACAAACGCTAAATCACTGCACAGCCTCGTCCATAAAGCACCCATCAACCACGACTTGCTCCCCCGAGCCCGCCCCAGAGTCCTCTCTGTTAGGCCGGATTTCGTGTCCTCACTGCTTAGGATACTTTCCTTCCAGGACCTGCAAACCCCACCCACTCTCCTTCTCTACGCTCAGTCGGTCGCCGAAGTCCCGCCCTCTCCAGGGCTTGGCCCCGCCTTTTCGCCATAGAGGCCACGCCCACTTTATGAAACTGTTTAAAGGCGGCGCGTGACGTAATTGGAATGCGACATCATCTTTGTCAGTGAACAAAATGGCGCCGTACTGTGTCCTGGTGACTCGCCTGCAGGTGACAGCGCTTCGCGGCGAGCGGGGTGCGGCGGTGGCGAGCCGGCTGCTGTTGGGCGGCCTGTGGCGGTGGGGACCCGAGTGCAGCTGGGAGGCTTGGGGTGTCGGTTTGAGGCTGGGCCGTCCTCGTTCTCCCTGTAGGTCAGCGTGTCCCTCGCGCCTGCCCAGGCCCTGTTTCCATAGTGACTGGGGAGCGGGGTCCCCGTAGGGTGGGGGCAGCCCCAGGCTCCGCTGTCTGGAGCTGACACCCCGGCTAAGCTCCCTCCGCACGGCCGGGGGGCGCCGGGCGGTGGCGTCTGCTCAAGGTGAGGACAAGGTGAACGGCGAGGTGGGGCCCAGAGGGAACAGGAGTCGGGCCGAGCCCCTCGGGGGCTGACCGCAGAGCTCGCAAACCTGCTGCTAGCGAGCCAGGTCCTGTCTGTGCTGGCCTCAGTTCTCCCCTCCCTGGGAGAACCGGGCCGGGTGCTCTGCAGTCTGTGTGTCAAATTTAAACTTCCCGCCTGTGACTAAACCAACTTCAGCCCCCCCCCCCCCCCCCCGCATCCTAACTAGGGCTCCACTCTGGCCTGGGCCTCTGGGGATGCCATGAGGAGGTTATTTGTGCTGCAGTCTGTGCCAAGAGCTGGTGGGTGGGTGCCACTGTGCACCTGCATTGACTTGTTAGAAATAAAAGTGATCATGTTTTTTTCTCAGGTTAAGTTTTGTTGCTTTGTTTCTCCCATTTTGTGAGATACATCAATAAAAGTTGTATTTTATTTCACTGTATATGTAAACCAACTCTAGTGGACTCTACCTCTTGACACTTCTGTTTACCAGTTCTCAAAAATCACCAGTTGCCACTGGAGTATTAGCATACAAGACTTTGAGTGGAAAATGCGTATGTGCATGCTTAGGTCTAAATACAGTAATTACAGGGGGTCTGCAATGAGACATAGTGAGGAGAGAAAGAGATCCACCTTCCCATCCAAGTTCTAGCCAACTAGAACTTGAATAAATTTACACTCTTTAGAAGAGATGCCCCATCTGTAATGATCTCTAAAACTCATACGGACTTGCAACATAACTTCAGCACAGTCTGATTCTTGTACTTCAGGCATATTTTTGTGTCTAAATCTGTACTTGAAGAACTCTAGAGGTTCTCATTATTAAGTTGCGGACATGTATATGGGTATAGCTTTCTCTTTTAAAAGGAAAATGTTCATGGAAAATCATGCTCCTCGTTTAAAGCATGGAACTGGGAGTCAGGAGATCTAAATTATGTTCCCAGCTTTGCCATAGACTTTATCTATGACATTCCCTAACATTTTTTTACTACTTTGCTTCAGTTTCCTAATCTGTAAAATAGTATTAACTTACCCATAGTATTTCTCAAGTGTGGTGTCATCTTAATTCACTATATATTTGTAAGTGTTTAATCTTCGGTGGAGGTACTGTAGAAGAGTATATTAATTTTATGCTTAAAATGTAAAGGGTCTTAGCTGCAATTTAATTTATAATATATCAAATTATTTGAAATGTTGCTTCAGTAACCTTTGTAACCTTTTTTAACTGCAATAACTAATTTAACTGATTAAAATGCTTCTATGGACATGACTACTTCCATAAAACTGGAAGAATTGCTCTTACTGTAGAAAATAGGGCAGCACAAAAATAAGGAACTGATCCATCATGTGAGAACAAGGAGTCAACTGATGGAATGAATGGCAGGTCAGTTTAGAAGAAATACAAGGAAATACTTAGCACATAATGTATTGGATCTGTGGAATTCACTATTTCCCAGAGGCTATCTAGTCTGATGCTTAAACTAGATTTCTTTAAAAAGGCTGAATAGTTATAATGAATATGAATTATACTAACAAATCTAAAGGTAATCAGTAAGGCTACGATTTAGTCGGCTATTTTTAGTAATAGTCATGTACGGGTCACAGGCAGTAAATAAAAATTCACTGCCCGTGACCTGTCCATGACTTATACTATAAATACCCCTGACTAAATATTAAGGGGGTCACTGCTGGGGGTGTGTTCCAGGGGTGGCGGTGGCTGCTGCTTCTGGGGAGGGCATCCCAGGGAGGCTGCTGCTGTGGGGGTGTGGCCAGCTATGGCACCAACAGCCAGGGGCCACTGGCAGCGGCTGCACTGGCCACTCAGGGAAGCAGCTACTCCCGTCGCCCTCAGGCGGTCCCTGGTGCTAGCTGCCTGGGTGTGCCTGAGCAGCAGCTGACTGCAGGCCCCGCCAGCGGCTGGCCAATGTGGCTGTCCTTGGGGTCACCTGAGCAGCTGGCCTCGTAGTTGGCTACGCTGGCCCCTGCAGAAGTCACAGAGGTCACAGAAAGTCATGGAATCTGTGACTTCTACGACCTCTGTGACACACATGGAGCCCTAGTAATCAGATATGCTTCTGGTTAAGCACTGTCGGTGACCAGAAGGAATTTTTGCATATGTATATATAGCATTACACAGACAGTGAAGGACGTATATAAGTATCACTTCACCAACCTCAGCAGCACCAAAATATCTGCCACGTTAGAACAGCATATGGCAATTCTGTACAACAATTTTAGGATGAAGTAAAGAATTGAAACTGCAAGGGGGAACTCTATTTGCCAGAGCTAAACTAGAGTGGAAATTGCACTGTGCTCCTGAGGTCTGGACAAAGTGAGTCCTGATGCTCTAAAGTTTAGAGTCTAAACATTAAATACATGAGAGGAGAAGACTCAGCAAACCATTTGGGGGCCCATTCCCCACAAGTTTTGAGAAATGTCTACATGGGGATGTTATTTGTGAATAAGGTAGGGTGTGAATCCAAAGTTCTGTAGCTATCCCAGAATAATGCCATGTGTACATAGAGTATGTCTATGCTACTGCAGCACAGCTATGTTGCTGTAGTGTAGATGCTTCCTACATAGACAAAGGGTTTTTTTCAGTCCATGTAGTTAATTCATCTCTCTTAGAGGCAGTAGATGGGTTGATGGAAGAACTCTTTGATAGACCTGGCTGCATCTTCCTTGGGTGCTAGGTCTACATCACTACGTTGCATAGAGTGCACTGTCTTTTACAGGCCTAAGTGATCTAGGTAGGTCAGCCTAAGTTTTAGGTGTTGGCCAGGTTTTATCCCAGTCAATTTTCCCATGCAAATAAGCTCTTAAACTCTTCAGGTATTAGCAAGCCTACTATTTTGGGTAACTGCGGTGAAGCCTCCTAAAGTTCCCAGGGTTTGGGTTTAGGGACCATTGGTTACCCCCTCCTAAGGCTGTTGGGTGTATGATTTCAAGGGAGACCTTCCCTGATCACTAGATAAAGCTGCTCAATTCTTATCAGGAGGAGGGGTGGGAAGGTATGTGATAAAATGCACCCCTGTATTCATACCCTACATGCTATTGTAATAATCTTTGTGTACAAAATATGCCTTGTAAAGTATCATTTAAAAACTAGTAACTTGCTGGTCAATAATATCATGATAAAATGTCTGTAGCAACGTTATATGAAAAGTTATAAATATAAACTGAAATAATGACTGAAGTGTGTTTACCAGACAAGTCTGGGGAGTGGGTAAACCTGTTTCTCAAAGACAAAGGACAAGTTGACAACCCTAACCCAGTGTCATCAAAGCTGATAGGCCATCACCTATCAAGTGGTCATTCTTTGGCAAGCAAAAGGGGCAGGAACAGACAGACTGGCATTTTAGCTAACTACAGCATGAGACCTCTCTTCACCCCCCCCCCCCCCCCCAAGACTTCATGTCTCCTTGCATTAGCTGGAAAGAACTTTTATCTAGGTGTCACTCTCTGGAAAATGCATTTCAAAGGGTAACTGAACAATACAAGTGAGGGGCAAAACACCCCCAAGTTCTTTCCCTGTCCATTTCTCTGTTCACCTAAGAAGACAAAAGAAACAGCTGTTGGACTTTGGGAGCAGATTCTAGCCTGAAGAATGTGGTCAGCTATGTTCTGGAAACATGTGATAAGAGACCTTACTTTGAACCAAGTCTAGTGTAAGTTTAGAAAGCATTTTATCTTGTAAACATTTCCAAGTAAAATGCCTCATTACTTCTACTCACTTAAAATCTCTCTCTTTGTAGTTAAATAAAATTTTTTTTACTTTAATTAAAACTAATCCAGTGTTTGTGAATTGTTTTTGATAACTCCATTTAAGGTAGCAGACTGTTGTGTGCTGATCCCCTTAGAGGGGCAATACACCTAATATATCTGGACTGTTCAGGAGGGGGCTGGACAGTGCAGAATACACATTTTGGGTGGAAAATCCAGGACTGGAAGTATTGGGGTCACCCTACAAGTTGTAACCAAGGTGTCTGGAAGTCAGAGTGTGGCTGGTGTTTGCTGACAGGCTGCTGTGCTAGTCCGGCTGCTCTGAGCACTGTGGTTATACACAGATGCTCAGGGTGTGACCTGCATGCTGTTTGGCTGCTTATAAAGAGCCAAGGTTGGGAGCTAAAGCAGCAAAGTGTTGTGAGCACCCAGGTTGCAGGGCAGTGGTGACACAGCCCCTCTCTGGTCTAGATTGCACCTTGGAATGTCAAAGGTAGCTCAAGGCGGGAGTGGGGTTGGAAGCTGTCAGGGCACTGAAGGACATGCTAAGGGTCAGGGAAGGTCACAAGCCCTCAAGATGGGGCTCAG